CTCAGAATACGGAAATCTGTATTTTAAAATATTTTTTTCCTTCTAATTTGTTATTCTTTTCAAAATAACACACTGTTATTTACTCACCAATAACACACAATTATCCTTGCTTTTATTTATTGGTTTAATTCCATAATCTCTGGCTTTTTTGGCGTCCGTCAGGAACTGAATTTCAAAATAAAAATAACCGGAAACAGACGTAGGCCTATAAGGGACATTTCGAGCATCATTGCGATTGTCAACATTTCTGAGTTTAGGATGGCCGAAGACACTACACTACCCATAATCCCTAGCTATCGTTTAGGACTACAGTCCCCGTAAGGTTACGCTGAGCGTCAGACAGCTGTTTGAAATGGAACGAAACCACGCCAGACTATCCAAAACTGGAATCGAACGCCCTCCCCAGAACTACACATGCTGGCTATTGTGTTTCGCAAAATGTTCTATGGGACGTCTCTACTGAACGTTTTCTTTTTTCCCACAATTAGAAGTTGCCAGTATTAAACACATTGGTGTTATCAAATGTAAAACATATAATTAATAAATGGGTGAAAATCGCTTGTGTCCATAATGCGCAGCATTAATACCCACATGACAGCTCATTGTTACTTTGTAATTCTACTCCACTACAATTCAGAGGTTAACCTGGTATTTTTACTCCACTGCATTTATTTGAGTTACTTTGCAGATTCTGATTAATTATGTGAAATATAAACAACCCTTAAAGCAGACTTTAGTTACAGTAAAATTCAGGGAAGGTGATTGTCAAGTGCCAACAATCAGGAGAGATATTTGATAGTTGGTGCTTGAGAAGACTAAACATTTATCTGCAATTGACATGAATGGAAACGAGTAATAAAGTATATTCATTACTCGTTATTCTCTACTAATAGTTCATTAAAGACTGTATATTATGGCTATTTTGCACATCCCTTTCAAGATTTTCAAAGGTTTATTGACATATCATATACACAACTACGGTGTAGTTATGCAATGAATGAAACACTTGGGTCACAGGTTCCTCAACAAGACATCTATCAATATGTGTGTACCTCCACCATCAAACTGTCATATTCTGCAAATGTCTTATTCTATCTACATACATAAGAGTATAATTCATATGTATAATATCAGTTGAAATAAGTGCTTCAACATAGTTAATATTGCAGGAAAGCAATATATTAGACGTTAAGTACTTTGTCAGGCTTAATGTTTATCTGTAGATAGATACCCCCAAAGTGTTTTTCTTATTTAAAAGAAGACCTTAATCTATTATTTAATGTTTAAATAAAGGTTAATTCGTTTTTCTGTTTTGCACCTCCTCCTATTAATATCTTTGTACATTCTGCACTAAACTGTTTTATTGTAGAGATCACTTGGAGTATCTTCTTGATTTTTTACATTCTATATTTATACTTTCCCCCTATGAAAGTATGTACTCTTAATATTTTTTTTATCAAATATAACAATAATTCAATAACGTGCTTTAACCACTAGGAGGTGCACACAAGGTACACACAGCCATAATAACTTTGTATTATAAATGTAGGACACTTATGTTTTCGTACATCTGAAGATGTGTAGTTGTATGCATGCTTTCACATAATTTTACAGCATATTGCTATACTATTTCAGACTCAGTATTTACATTCTTACATTCAAAGAAAATCAGTAATATCTTTAAAAACTACAGTCCTTTTATATCAGCTGAGCACCGTTATGGTGTAAATATAACCTATCTGTGAATTAGATCAAATGTAAAAGTCAGCCGAATTAGTGTTGATACTGCAAGGAGACGTATTGTGTGAAGATACATTGAAGATGTTGTTTAATTGTTGAATATATTTATGATCCACGTCAAGTATTCAGTTTCGGCGGCATTTTCTCAGTTTTTCCAAAGGTCTTCTCATCAGGGCTCTATAAATAAAGAACTACGGCAGATCTGTAATATACAATGCAGCCGAACCGTGTATTACAATGCCGTTATGTGATGACTTTCAAAGAGAAAAGCAAGAGCGCTCGGAATTAAGTATTATTTTATTCTTTTAAAATGTTTTCCGGATTTCATATCATATAAACACCAAATCCCAGCATGCATTGCGGCTAAAACATCCAATAAACGAGCTTAAAACCATAGCTGAGGATCTTGGGTAATCGCTCGAAATGCCTACGTCTGTTTCCGGTTATTTTTATTTTGAAATTCAGTTCCTGACGGACGCCATTAAAGCCCGAGATTATGGAATTAAACCAATAAATAAAAGCAAGGATAATTGTGTGTTATTGGTGAGTAAATAACAGTGTGTTATTTTGAAAAGAATAACAAATTAGAAGGAAAAAAAGATTTAAAAAATACAGATTTCAGTATTCTGAGGCTCTGAGCCCCATTTATTTTCCTCACAGACAGCAACAAAAGTCCGAAATTATACGATTTAAAATAAAAGCAATAACTGTGGCTTAATATTGAGTAAGAACATGTTTTTATGAACCACACAGCTTCCGGTCTCCCACGACCCGACCGGAGAAAAAGACGTGCTGCAGGCAGTAGAAATACATTGCTTTTAAAATCGTGCTGTGCAACACGAAAAAAGGGGGCAAATCGTGTTGGTGAACACGAATCAATAGATTAAAAATCGTGTTGGTGAACACGAAATGCCGTGAGACTGGGTTGCATATAGTGAGCTTCAGCTGTGTGATTGATGGACCATGGAGTCATTTTGCAGTAGAAGTGACACTGTGTTAGCTCAATAAGGTTGTTGCACTGCTCTGGTGGTCCCTGTGGGGTATCTGAGGTTACACTGAGGTCAGCTCTCTTTGTGTCTCACTAAAGCCCTGACTGTTGTCATGAATGAATTCACCCATTCATTATTTATTTATACTGGTGGAATTGATTCTAGCCATGGTGGTTTGTGTTGGTAATATAGTTAATGGAAAAGCATTTACTGTCATCCGTGGGAAGAAAGACATTGAGATGTTTTAAACAGTAGTGTTAGCATCATTTTATTATTATCCTGTTTGTGACCATTTATTTACATTGAGAAAGAAAATGCACTGCTCACTTCCTGATGAAAATGTACCTTGTTGTAATGATTGGTAAAACATGGCAGAAGCTAAGCATAGTGAAATAGCCTTTGTAACAACTTCAATATTGAGAATATAGCTTATATCACTATATGTATCTACAGTTTATTTACAAGTAGGCTATATATCAACAATATTACATCATTTAAATGTAGACACTCAGCTAACCTAATGTAGCATTGCTATAGGCTCATATATGACAGTCGTTTATTCATCAACCCTTCCAGCAGACAGGAAACTAGGAAGGAAACAAGGACGTTTGTGTGTTTACTACATAGCTTATTAGCCCTGCTAGCTAGTTTTTAGTGTGTGCTTCATAACTTAGATAAAAGATTGGATTAGATTCATGTTAAAACTATTAAGCTGACATGAATATCAGGGGCATGTTTTAGAATCTTAAACATAATGTGTCATGGGAAGTGTGATAAGGAATCTTAGCTAGCTGCTTTCAGCTAGCTAAGTGATTTAAAACATTCACATATTATCACATATTTTTTTCTTGACTACATCTTCTTTCTTTTCAAATTAGGTTACATAACATGATACTTATCCTCCAGTCCTGAATTAATTAATGTATAGCGAACACATTTGCAATCTGTTGTTTATGAGCTTGAAGACCAAATAGCAGAGAACATATCAAGAAAATAAACAAGTTCTGCCATTAAAGATTAATGAGGGGTCCTCGCCTACAAGGATACTGGACAAGCATTTTCAAACACCTTACTGAGGCCTTGGACGTGGTATTGACACCATGTGCAGAAACTGCCATTTTTGGAGTACTACCTGGCCACCGAATGTTGAAGAGGAAAACTAAAGACAGTATAGCCTTTGCATCTATCTTAGCACATAGAAGAATACTCCTAGAATGGAAATCTTCTATACCACCTAAAGCATCTCTATGGCTTAAAGATTTAATGTTGTACCTGAACTAGGAGAAGATTAAATGTAACCTGAGGGGCTCCTCAAAACTATTTGAATCTGTCTGGGGCTCTATGATAGCCTACATAGCTGAACTTAAGACACTAAATTAAGAAGAAAGGGGGGAACTACGAATGTATGTGTATGTTTTTTTTCTTTTTTTTCTTCCTTGTGTCTCTTTTTATCTGTTTGTTTTTGTTATATTAATTTTTATTTATTTATCTGTTCTGTCTTTGTATACATGTATGAATGTAGGTACGTGTATGTATGTGCATGTGTACATGTGTGTGGGTATGTACACACACGTATGTGTATGTGTATATGTGGGTATACATATGTGAGTATATGGGTACAAGTATTACTGTTACTATTCTTTATTCCCTTATCTATACATTTTCTTTTAATATTATCTTCTACATTACTTTACTTTTACCTATACATGTATCTATTGTAGTTAGTTAGTTATTTAATTTACTAGCTAGGACCGGGAGGGGGGGAAAGGGGAAAAATAAATAAAAATATTGACTGTATAAATGTAAACTCATTGTGCCTGACTCAATAAAAAAAAGATTTAAAAAAAAAAGATTAATGAGGGTTTCTTAAAGAAAAAGTTAAAACACATAATATATTGGCCAACATTGGTTCTGTCAGGAATAGTTATTGGAGTAATTATTCTAGCAGATTGAGCTATCAAATTCAGTTGTAAGGTGTACATTGTATTTCATGGAACTGTATGCTATTGAATATGACTGCTTTTTTATTCTGTAGATCCAGTATAATGTACGATATTTATCTTCATTAGGAATACATTTAATGAAATGAACTAAGTTTGATGGGCAATAGCATTACTGAACATCTGGATGACCCATCAAAAAACAAACACACGTAAACAGAATACGATTATTTTGGGTACACGGTTCATTTTGCTCTTATGCTTATGTCAAGCCAATTACTGATCTCCTGCCTCTTGTTCCTCCCCCTCCTTATTCTCTTACCTTCTCCAGGTCCTGGGGAAAGGGTGATGTTTAATGGCCGCCCTCTCACATTGGAGTCCTCGCAATCATAGATCCATCATCAACGGAAACGCTCTCATCATGGAAACCACCTACCTCCAGACTGCCCTCCTAGACCCCCCCTGCAGAGCGTGTAATTGCTGAGGGAGGGGCAGTATTACTGAGACAAGCTTGCCTGTGAAGAAGAGAACAAAAACACACAAAACATGTAGTGTACCTCTCTGCAAGTAGGGGGGAGGGTCTACATTTTAGTCTGATTTATGTTTAATTTATTTTCAGTTTATTTTTTATCTCCGCAACAGATTTGTGTAAGCTTGTTAAGAGCGTGTATGTCGGTGTGGACATAGCGTGTGGAGAAAGTGACGGAGAGAAATACAGAGAGAGAAAGGAGGGAAGAGATGGTCCTCCACACCACCCCTTACTCCAGTGCCTGCCTGCACTTCCTGGATGGCCTGTCATGGAGCCTGGTGTTCCCCTGCTACTGGCTCCTGGACCAGCTGCTGGCTTCCTGCGTGGCCACCTCTCTGGAGAAGCGCCAACGCTCCCAGGACCCCTGCTCCTTCCTCACCCTGTGTGTGCTGATCACCGCGCCGCTTTACCTGCTCCTCTTCCTCGCCTCCCTGCCCTTCGCCCTACTGGGTTTCTTCATCTGGGCTCCCCTGCAGGCCGTCCGCCAGCCGTACCTGTACACCTACCACAGGTTAGTGATAACAATTTTCAGCATTAGTATGCTATGCATATAGCTTCTTAAAATAATGTCACTTGTACTGGAACTACACAGTGTGGTAATAATTGGGATTGATACATTGGAGAGTAGGGTTTGTGATAAGATTGAGGCCTTTAGGTGAGGTATGTTCTCCATACAAAAATATGGTTTCCTAAAAAACAAGTAATAACTCAAACTAATGGGCGTAACACACACCTAGTGTAACTGTAGTGTCAAACTATCTGGAAGATTGCTGTGCATACTGTACATGTAGGTTAACATACTAGCGCCCACCCGCCACCCCCGTCGACGTTCGCAATTTTCGAATGGGCTGTTTCCAGGCGAGCTCGATTCATTGTCGATTTGTTCCTGTACCATGCCTCACAATGATTTTCCAAATCTATTTGAGGTGAAAAATAAGCCATTCAGTTGCAGAGTCATGCTTCATGTTATATCTACAGTACCAGTCGTTCCAAAGGTTTGGAGATTTGATGAGGCAGAAAATGAAGTCATTATCTACTGTAAATAGTTTGCTTATGGGTCTGGCTTCCAGCTGCCAGGCTCAATCAGTTCCAGCGAGCGTTTGATTATCCAAACACAAACCAAAATGGCTACCCACTATAACCACACACTTTGAAATACTGTTCAAGCTCTATTAGCTGTGGGAGAGCAGCACTCTCTCTGGGTTACTTGCTTTTCTAGTGGTATCCTAAGTTAAATGTGACATTCCCTTTGTTATCTCTGTTGGTTTCCAGTAACTACTGTGTTGTCCCAACATTGATGTGATGATTGCTGAATGTTATACTACACTGAACAAAAATATAAATGCAACACTTTTGTTTTTGCTCCTATTTTTTATGAGATTAACTCAAAGATCTAAAACATTTTCTATAAACACAAAATAACCATTTCTCTCAAATATTGTTCACAAATCTGAAAAAATCTGTGATAGTGAGCACTTCTCCTTTGCCGAGATAATCCATCCCACCTCACAGGTGTGGCATATCAAGATGCTGATTAGACAGCATGATTATTGCACAGGTGTGCCTTAGGCTGGCCACAATAAAAGGCCACTCTGAAACGTGCAGTTTTGCTTTATTGGGGGGGTCTGGGGGGGTCCGAAAACCAGTCAGTATCTGGTGTGACCACCATTTGCCTCACGCAGTGCAACACATCTCCTTCGCATAGAGTTGATCAGGTTGTTGATTGTGGCCTGTGGAATGTTGGTCCACTCCTCTTCAATGGCTGTGCGAAGTTGCTGGATATTGGCAGGAACTGGAACACGCTGTCGTATACGCCGATCCAGAGCATCCCAAACATGCTCAATGGGTGACATGTCCGGTGAGTATGCTGGCCATGCAAGAACTGGGATGTTTTCAGCCTCCAGGAATTGTGTACAGATCCTTGCAACATGGGGCCGTGCATTATCATGCTGCAACATGAGGTGATGGTCGTGGATGAATGGCACAACAATGGGCCTCAGGATCTTGTCACGGTATCTCTGTGCATTCACAATGCCATCAATAAAATGCACCTGTGTTCGTCGTCCATAACATACGCCTGCCCATACCATAACCCCACCACCACCATGGGTAGGGTTGGGTATCGTTTGAATTTCCAGGATTCTGATTCCGATTCCGATTCTACTTTTCGATTCCGGTTCTTAACGGTTCTCAATTCCGATTCTTTGAGGGGCAGGGTAAAAAAATGATACATGCTTCTTCCACCAAAACAATTACATTTATTCGAGAAACTTTTACACAGGTTAGTTTACAGTAATATTCACATTAATCAGTCTGTTTATATCCACTGCTATGTAACTGTAACCTGAGAACCACTGAAGCTACAACAGTGCAACAATCTAACTTTTAAAGGAAACCCCCCCCATTTAAACAGTTCTTGTTGAGAAAAACAAGCATATCTGCCTTCTCAGGCATACCGGGAAGAAATGTTTGAACATTTTAAAGTAAAATGCTTCAATCTGGTGCACTTTAAGCAGAATTACTAGAGACTAGATCTAGGGGGTACAACTCTAAACACCCATATGAAAAAGATCGGTTTACATTTTAATAATTAAATAAGTATGTGAACATAACCAATAACCTACCATAGCCAATAACAAATACATGTAACGTATTTTATTTTTGTTGTTCATTCATATCTTATTTTACTATTTTATTAATGCATATTTTTTTATCTCTCCAGTTTAAAACGATAAGTCTGGTTTAATGTCCTATAGTATACATTGGAATGATTTAAAACCTGTTTTATCCCAATAATTATAAAGGAGTGCCTTGGAAATATGTGTTTACATAAATTGTGATCAAACCGTTTGAGACCCACTGAGATAACTTAGACTAAAGTGAACTATCTAAACACTCAGAGTCCTTTACCTCACTGAGCTGTAGTTATCAGCCTCTCAGTCTGACTGGAGAGGACTCTCCCTCCACATCATTGTAGAAACATTGTCTTCTTCCGTTAGAGCAGCTAGCACCAGATTCTAATAACAACAGCGCGTACCGGTGCACCCTCCCTTTCTCCCTCGCTCGCTCCCACGCTCACTCGCACTTTAGCTGTGAGCTGCGGGTGCCAGATAAGCCAACATCCCCCATTTTCATCACTTACAGCGCCCATCGTACAGGGCAAATGAAAAGTGTAACCGGGATGAAAAGGGTGTTACATTTACTTCAGTGGCGAGCCGTAACTTTTATACCTAGGCCCTCTGACATTTAACCCTTCACATTCCAACAGAAACTGAACAGGTAGATTCGAAGGATTTATTTCTTTGGAAATATTATTTTAAATAAAATTAAATGAAGTTATTTTGGTAAAACTAATGAAAAATGTAATGTATGGTAGAGAAATGAACTTGCTGACAGCAGGAATGTCCACCAGAGCTGTTGCCCGTGAATTGAATGTTCATTTCTCTACCATAAGCCGTCTCCAAAGGCGTTTCAGAGAATTTGGCAGTACATCCAACCGGCCTCACAACCGCAGACCACGTGTAACCACACCAGCCCAGGACCTCCACATCCAGCATGTTCACCTCCAAGATCGTCTGAGACCAGCCACTCGGACAGCTGCTGCAACAATCGGTTTGCATAACCAAAGAATTTCTGCACAAACTGTCAGAAACCGTCTCATGGAAGCTCATCTGCATGCTCGTCGTCCTCATCGGGGTCTCGACCTGACTCCGGTTCGTCGTCGTAACCGACTTGAGTGGGCAAATGCTCACATTCGATGGCGTCTGGCACGTTGGAGAGGTGTTCTCTTCACGGATGAATCCCGGTGTTCACTGTTCAGGGCAGATGGCAGACAGCGTGTGTGGCGTTGTGTGGGTGAGTGGTTTTCTGATGTCAATGTTGTGAATCGAGTGGCCCATGGTGGTGGTGGGGTTATGGTATGGGCAGGCGTATGTTATGAATGACGAACACAGGTGCATTTTATTGATGGCATTGTGAATGCACAGAGATACCGTGACGAGATCCTGAGGCCCATTATTGTGCCATTCATCCACGACCATCACCTCATGTTGCAGCATGATAATGCACGGCCCCATGTTGCAAGGTTCTGTAGACAATTCCTGGAGGCTGAAAACATCCCAGTTCTTGCATGGCCAGCATACTCACCGGACATGTCACCCATTGAGCATGTTTGGGATGCTCCGGATCGGCGTATACGACAGCGTGTTCCAGTTCCTGCCAATATCCAGCAACTTCGCACTGCCATTGAAGAGGAGTGGACCAACATTCCATAGGCCACAATCAACAACCTGATCAACTCTATGCCAAGGAGATGTGTTGCACTGCGTGAGGCAAATGGTGGTCACACCAGATACTGACTGGTTTTCGGACCCCCCCAGACCCCCCCCAATAAAGCAAAACTGCACGTTTCAGAGTGGCCTTTTATTGTGGCCAGCCTAAGGCACACCTGTGCAATAATCATGGTGTCTAATCAGCATCTTGATATGCCACACCTGTGAGGTGGGATGGATTATCTTGGCAAAGGAGAAGTGCTCACTATCACAGATTTTTTCAGATTTGTGAACAATATTTGAGAGAAATGGTTATTTTGTGTATATAGAAAATGTTTTAGATCTTTGAGTTCATCTCATGAAAAAAAAAAAAAAGAAAAAAAAAAGTGTTGCATTTATATTTTTATTCAGTGTAATTCTTCCATAATATGAGATAAAAATAGCAGTGTTTTTTATGGAATAAATCAGATCTTTTTAAAAAAACATGATAAAATACAAATACATTTGAGTTATAAGGAGGCCAACCACATAACAGAATCAGAAAAGGAAAAAAAAGAAATGTGTGAAAATGGAGGCTTCAGTGACCATAACTGTATTGTAAGTTAGTGAAAACACTATTCTACATTAGTATGTCGATTTGTACCATTAATGTTACTTTACAGGCAGAAACTAAGGGTGACTTTAATAAAATGGGATATTTAGAGCCCAGAGAAGCTGATCGGGCCATTTTAGTCTTTTATGCTAAACTAAGCTAATGTCTGCTGGCTTAACCTTCATGTTTAGCATACAGACATGAGAGTATCTACTTATGTGACCCGCCCAAAAAGGTTAACAAACATGTTTCTCTAAAATCCAGATATTCTTTTAAAATAGGTTTAATAGCGATTTGTGTTCCTCACAGTTTGACTTGACATATAATGTTGCTGCTTACCTTGTGCAGACCAGACAAACACCAGGCCGAGCAGGGCCAGGCCGGGCCGGCGGGTGTCGGGGAATGGAGGCCCCAGGGACGGAGCTTCTGTTTCTGCAGCGCCAACGTGTGCCTGCTGCCCGACTCCTTGGCCAGGTTCAACAATCTGTCAGACACCCACCGGAGGGCCCGCGAGGTCGGGAAGAGGATCCGCAACGGGGCCAGTCGGCCTCAGATCAAAATCTACATCGACTCACCGACCAACACTTCCATCAGGTACGGAGAGTTTGGGTGCTTTCACTTATGTCCTAGCAGTATACATTGTTATCATATTTATACATGTGTATATGTTTACAAGTAAGTGTGTATGTATGTATATGAACAGTGTATGTAAGAGTATATGAATATTTGTGAAATCATCCCTCGGTTTTATTCGACCCTTGACAAAATATGAACTCTATGCAGGTCATCAGTTTTAATGTAACTCTTAATATGTTACTGCTTAGTTGTTAGTTTGTCTTTTTTATATTTTTTTATATTTTGTATTTCAGTTGTATCTTCTTTTTCATGTTTTCTCAGCTGTGATTTATCTATGCTACATAAATAATATGAGTTTATACTCTGAACAAAGTTTATCTGTTTAATGAAATAAACTGATAAATAAAAAGTAAAAAAAGGGATTAAAAACATTTACTTTGATCATAAATTCCAATCAAACAAATCGTTATTTCTCTTCCGTCCTCAGTGCGGTCTCCTTCAGCAGCCTTGCCACAGGGTTCCGCCGTACCTCCTCTCTGGACCAGCGTCCAGACCAAACATACACCACCAACGGTCCGGCCGACACAGAAACAGAACCCCCCACCGAGTGCCCAATCCACCCCTCAGGTGCCCCAGACTGCCCCGTCCACCCCTCTACAGGAGACCAGGGTTCCTCTGACTGCCCCCTGCACCCAGAGGGAGAGGACACGGCGGCGGACTGCCCGCTCCACTCCGCAGAGACCAACGGCAGCTCAGACTGTCCTGTCCACGCCCCGGGGGAGGGTCCGGACTGCCCCCTGCATACTACAGGGCCTCAGAGTGGCCATCATGACTGTCCCATGCATGGGGAAGGGACCCCGACCAAACCTTCCTCAGATTGCCCTGTTCACACCTCAGGGGTTCAGATCAGCATCAGCGCCCCAGAGCCAGACCCTCAGGAGGAGGAGGCTGAGACAGGGAACCACAGGGGTGGGGAGCCGGCGGGGGGAGACACGGGCAGCATGACTGCCTCCAGGGAGTCCCTCACCCGTTACCATGGCGGTGACGGTGTAGGGATATCTTCCAACAACACTCTCTCTCACGTCCCTCGCACGTCAGTCTCTAAGCGTCCTGGGAGAAAACGCCGCCACGGAGACGAGACGTTCGACCACGAGATCTCCGCCTTCTTCCCTGCCAACTTGGATTTTCTGGCTCTACAGGAAGTGTTCGACCACGGATCAACCACTAAACTGCGGCGGCAGTTGCATCGCTACTTCCCCTACGTGCTGAGCGATGTGGGCCGCTACGGCTGGAAAGGATGCTGCTCCAGGTTCAAGTTCCTGAACAGTGGGCTGATGCTGGCCAGCCGATACCCCATCCTGGACGCTCGCTTCGAGTGCTACCCCAACGGGAGGGCGGAGGACGCTCTGGCAGCCAAGGGCGCGCTGTTTGTCAAGGTAAGAAACGTTACCTTCTCAGCCTCTTTGTCTTGCTTTTTATGTACAGTTGCACAATGCAAATTCCACCCATTAGAAATGTGTTGGAAGAGTTGGATGAGAAATGCAATGACCCTCTACTTCACCACAGCCAGAAGATGCTCATCTTAGCTTAGCATACAAACGGAAATGGAAAAAAAGCTTCTTTGGCTCTCTCTGTTAGAATTGTAGATGTTTAGGCAGCCTCACTGTGGCACCTTTTGTCTCAAAATAATCTCACATATAACACCAACCAAAAACTCATTTAAGTTAAAAGCGTATTTTGTTCAGATTTAAGTTAATGGGATATTTTTCTCTTGAAGAAAGGCAGGCTTTTAGTCACTAATTGCATCTAGTCTTTATATTTTTGCCTACACGTGCACGAAGGTGTACAATTGTCATTTACATTTTCAAAAACATTGTTGTTTTTTTGCCATGGTTTCGCTCTCACTGAGACCAATTTCAGTGAACATAATTACACTGCCTTAATTCTTGTTGAATCATTTCAAAATCAGACAGCATGTCATTCTAATTACATTGCAGATGTAACGGGGAAAATATCCTTGTTTCTTCCTCTCATTTCCTTTCAGTCTGATCTGAATTAGGAGCTCATGTTGTGCCTCTCCTGCAGCAGGAATGTGTCTGAGCTCTGATCGCTGCCATTTCAGACAAAAGCTAATCATGTCATCTCTGGTGCATCTCATCTGTAACTTTGGCAAGGCGGTAATTGAATCATTAGGTCTATTTATACTAAATGAACTTATAATACATTGTTAGAAAGTGTGAAAGAGAGCATTAAAGAGGGACAGAGAGACAGAGTTCAAATGAGCTTCCAGCTGTTTGCAATATTTAATGTAGATCTCCGTAGTATGATAAAGGGTTCATAATGTAAAGACTTTGATTCAGCAATATCTGTCTGCACTGCTCCATAACCCATCTGGTTTGGTTTGTTTGTTTGATGTGTTAAAACACTCATGGACACCCACTTTAATTCACACATTACACATCTGTCATTGTGAGCGCACGCAGCAGTAATTACAGAACACTCACAACCTTTCCACCTCTCCCACTGTTCCGTGGAAAAAGCAAACAAAAAAAGCATGTCCCCATGTTCAAGGTCTTCAGCATTACATGTTTTTAAAGAGGACATATAATGCTTATCTTTAGGTGTATATTAGTATTTAGTGCCTCTAATGCAGTGGTTCTCAACCTTTTTCTGGCATTCCCCACTTTGAACAGGTGGGCCTTTTCAAGCCCCCCCTGTTCCTCATCGCTCCAATAAAATGGTAGGCCAAGCTTAAAATTGTCAAATGTATCGTTCTATAACAGGGGTCTCCAACCTTTTTGAGGATGAGAGCTACTTTCAAAAAATAAAACAAGTCGTGAGCTACTTTTACTCCTCTTTTTTTTGTTTTTTGCAGTGTATATATTTAGCACATTTTAACATTATGATATGCTGACCTTTAACCTCTGTGTGTACCGTTTGGGTCTGTGGGACCCTTTTCGGTATTTACTGAAAGAAAATGTATGCAATTTAATTAATTTAACCTGCTTTTTTTGGGGGTGGACCTCACATCCTCTAGGGGGGTCCGGGGGCATGCACCCCCGCAAAGTTTATTGTTTTTAAATGTTGAAGTTAAATCATCATCAATCTGGAGCACTTTGAGCACAACATGAATTTATGGATACAGCTCTCAACACTCAGATGAAAGGGAGCTGTATACTTTTCAATAATCCAAACATCTTTAGAATATGATCACAACCAATAACAAATCATTTAAACATTTTTATTCTTATCTTATGTTACCTATAGTTAGTATTCCTTCTTTTTATTTATGCATATTTTACTAATCACTCCCCTTGTAAACTGTATTTTGTTTTACTGTCCTATAGTAGCCTATACACATTGGAATGATTTCTTACTTTATTTTTTACAACTATATGAATAGATAAAGGTGTGCGAAAGCGTAGTGTCTGCTCTCTCCTATCTATCGACTCTCTGCAGGATGATCTTCTATCGTCTATTATTTCACTATCTCGCTCGCATATCTCTCATCTTATCTCTCTCTATCTCTCTCTCTCGAATCTATCAGATCGCGCTATCTCTCTCTCTCTATATTTATATCTCGAGTTCTGATCTCCTCTCTCTCTCTCGCTCTCTCGTCTCTCTTCTTTCTTTCTATGTCTGTGATTTGGTTTCAGTTGTGTGTGTGTGAGCAGGCTCGGATTGGAAGTCCGGCGGCTCCGAAAGTCCACCGCCATTGCGAGGGCCCAGGTTCGATTCCGTGTTTCAGAATATATATAACACTATATTTGTTAAAGAAATATGCATAATTCCCCATGATTTTATAGTGTAATGAAAACACATTGATTGGTAGGTAACACGGCGCATAGTACAGTTCACAACTGAAGTGTTCAATTTAAATTAAATGTTTACATTTATTTAGAAATTATTTTATATATTTAAATGGACATTTGGGAGCAACACAGCTCAAACATGACTGTTGGGTATTATACATTCTACATAGCCAACAGATAACACATGTATTTAACCTGTGTATTTTCACAGTTGTAGACCTAGAGGTTATTGGCCACTACAAATTCCTCACAGACCTGTTAAAGATGTGTGTACAGTGGGAAAAACACAATACAATTACAAGATAGACAGTCCAAATGACAAATTATAGAACATAATCTCATGTTAGGCTGATTTATGATTCTTTTAAAATGTAGTCCTTTTTATAAGAAAACAAACAGAATCCCTATTAGAAAAAAGCAGTAGTGCAGGGTGTAAAGCAGTGACCATCAACTGGTGGCCCGCGGGCCACATCCGGCCCGCCAGACATTCTCATCCGGCCCGCACGGCGGGGGTGACTGTGGCGTTGGCGGAGTGGTTAGTGCGTTCGCCCCCCACTCAGGGGCGGCGGGTGCTGTAGGCTAGGGAAGGCTAAGCCTTCTCAAATATTTGTGTAACTGCATCCTGGTAAAATAAAAATATAATGTCTTTGACATTAGCGCTGCTATGCAGCCAGCTGTGCCCTGTACCACGAAGCCAGTTCAACAGACCCTGGATATGCTTGAGTTATCTTAACTAACCCTAACAAACGCGATCTCGCTAAACGGTCCTTCGGCGCTGGTTATCAACTCGGTAAATCAAGCCAGGGTTTCTCTCTCCAGCTGAGAACGCGTTCACGTGAAAGGGGCGGGGTTAGCTACATTTGACTAATCACAAACAGGGACAAGTGTACTGACAGCGCAACATCATACTTCATTAATGAAAAGTAAACTAATATTAGACAAATATGAACTTTAAACATCCATGATGACTTAAACATATAATCCAGGATACAAGCCACATAGTTGCACCTGCAAGGAGAATACAGAACAACTCGTTAAAAAATAAACTACCGAGTGTTTGAAAGCGTACAACAGTTTTATGATACTGCCCCATCTAAAACACGAGGGGATCTGACTTTATTACATTTGAGTTGAGTGTTTCGTCAACTTAATGTGTTGCTTAAAATAATACGTCTGCATACATACTAGTATATGTGACAATGTAACTAAGTGTTGCACGGCCAGATACGGCTCGAGAAGCTGACTCAGATAAGGAAATATTGTGATATCGATGTGAGATCGATGATCTGATTGATGATGTGATAAGTGCACGTCGGCGTCTTCTCTGCATACGGCAGTTTAAACTGCATTTCCTTTCTCCTGTAATATGACTTGATAGATTTAAACTCCGCACACTGAGCTCTGATCGGTCAGCAGACGGTGCTTTCACTGAGTTGATCTCTTTTCTATAGACGCCGGAGGCGGGCAGCGTAAGATGAAAAAAAAAGTTATTTAGCCTTCCCAAACCTGAGCCTCACGCGCCGCCTATGCCCCCACTCATTTTTTAACAACGTCTCTTGAGTAATGTGCAGTACCGGAGTCCAACAGAGAGGCAGCAGCTGCGGGACAGTAGCCTGCGTACTGCGTAGCCTTCCCTGCCCTGAAGAAGTGATCCTTTGTTAGCGTGAAGAGTCTGCTTTACGCGCAGTAGCCCCGCTACGAGGCTCCAGCAAGTTGACAGTCCCCCCCCCCCCCTCGTCAACAACTTCCAAAATTCTGGGCTATTTATAAAGATCGCTGGCCCCCGAAAGTGTCTCTTGGATTAGTGCAGAGTGTGTGTGCATTTATCAGCCCCGTACTGTGGTTGTCATGATGTGAGCTTGGATCAGATCCAGTACTCTGTATGTGTCCTGATGCTGATGATGGGTACTTACTGTATGTGTGTGTGTCCAAACATGCCCTCACATATACAGTAACAGATCTAATTAAGACCTGCTAAATCACAGCTTGCTTGCTGACAGACCCCCTCTGTTTGCCCTGCTGCCTGCTGACTGTCACTGTGGTTTACAAGCTGGTCTCACATCCCGTCTCACCTCCTCCTCCTGTCTGAGGTCATCCCAGGTCCTCCTGACACCTGGCTGTCAGCCAGCTGGCAGCTACCTGTACCAAGGCAAGCTGCTTACTGCCACCAGAGAAGGAAATCAAACAATGTTAGACTAAATTATTTCCCCTCCTGACAGGAAATGCTTATTTAGACTGCAGCCAAACCCACATGTCTCCCAATCCAGCATGTCTGTGCCTTTGCTCTAAATTCATACTAACTTCTTTATTCATACTTCTTTAACACATAAATAATTGGCACAGTCACTGAAAAGCATTGTGTGGGATTGATTGTCACTAGTCTGTAAAGATGTGTCCACTTACTTTGGCTGCTGGGTTCGCATCCTTCACACATTTAGAAGCAGAAAAATATAAATGTATTTGAATTGAAAATTATTTTTCGACTTTGGCAATAGTGATTTGATCAAGTAATCTTAAATAAAGAGACTCTAACAAAGGGTTTTCATTTGCATAATGAAGTATTATGGTTCAGTAGTTATCAACTGATCATAAAGCATAACATTGACGGTTGATGACCAGTTTTG